GAGTAGAAATATACATCAGGGTTAACAGACTAAAATTTAGTAGTCTGTAATTTTGGTTACAAAGTATATATCTGTATTAAGTTTCTTAGGTGAGAATGAATGAGATTTATGATATTCTATCCATACAGTATTACTTCACAAGAAATACATCAATATATCCACTGTGAATGATTTTATATTCATATATACTACTCATTATACGTCCATTAATCCCCTTCTTCCTATTGAATTTAATTCTTTAGGAGAACAATAAAATGTTTTAAAATGGAATGAATAAATTTGATTTCAGTTTAGAAGGTATCTGACCAAAAAAAGTCCAATTTTGTTCCCAAATTCCAAAGTCATGGAATAATTAAGTGTTAACTTTTTATTTGATTAGAAAAACATTAAGGGGCAAATGTTCAAAGTAGAGAGTAGTAAGTCAGCTGAACTTCCATTCATGCTAATGGGAGGCATTTGGCTAAGTTCCCTGGACAAGGCTTTGAACATACCCTAGAACTTAAAAAAAAAAAAAAAGTTGCAAAGCACATTAAAACGTGGAATGTTTTTAGGTCCTCCACTTCTTTTAAACACAACAACAACAAAAAATACATAAAGGCAGGCAGTACTTTTTTTTTTTTTAAGCACACATGAAAGAAAGATGTGGGCATTATTTAATAATGGTGTTCCTGGTTCAAAGCCCTTAAATATTATACAGTTAGAGGCCTAGAGAAAATGCCCCTGAAAAAAAAATTTGTTGCTGAACATCACCATTGTAGGTATCTCTGAAATCATCCACAAAAGAAAATTAATGGTCCTGTTTAGAAAAAATTGCTTCCTTACATTAGAAAATTTAACAGTAAATATAGTACTACTTTTAATAAGTTAAAGAGCAAGACTTTTTGTTGATATATATGTACATGTGTATATATATATATGCATACATATATATTACAGTTATGCGTATTTAAGCAATGTGATGTGTGACTTCCCACCACTTCTGTAAGACTAGAATCAGTGGAGGGGTGGAAGAGCAGTAGATTGAGTCCATGTTAACTGTGATAAATTTAGTGTCCTAAGCTCAAATAATTTTATTATGTAATCAACTGTTTCTTCAAATACTAATAGAAATAGATAATCTAGAACAGAGATGACACCTCTTTGCCAGGTTTTCTCTATGATATTCAGGTGACACAATATGATATTCTGTTGTAAATGTTATATGTTGATCATGTTGAAAGATATTGACTACCTCCAGCACATTCAAGAGAATATGGCTGGAATGATTATTCTGGAAACTACATCATATGAAGAATACTTTACAGAAAAGAGACTTACAATTGTGTAATAATTGCCTGATGATACCAGATTTCACATATAAGAAGGATATTTATTCTGTGTTACCTTTATAGAAAATTAATAGAAACGATAGAGAAAAATAATGGCTCACTGTTCTATGGAGCTTTCCAAAAGGGAAAGGGATTTTTAAAAAGCAGGTTAACTTCTTATCTCAGAAGTGAACATAACTGAGATTGTACAGGGGCTTTTTCATTCAGGAGGAAGCTGAACTTCAGTGGTGTGCCTAACTCCAGGTGATTTACAGAATTGCATGTGTGCATTACATTGCCATTAATTTAATACAGATCCCCTGAGCCACACCCCATGCTTGATGAATTAGAATATTCAAGAAGATGTGTCTTTGTTTTAGAATAAATGTTTGATAAGAAAAAAATGTATTACTTGGAGAAGTATAGTAAGCAAAATGTTGGTATTCAGTTTTCATTGTTTCTATTATTATACAATATTAGTGATTGTAGAGTGAAATCATGACATAATTATATTAGAATAAATTATCCATAAAATTTTAATCACATCTACAGGGGTCCAAATTCCATATTCTTAGATATTTTTCAATCATTTAATACATTTCTACTGAGGGTTAATATCATGTAGTACATTAGTCCTGAGGTTGAAAAAACAGTGTGAAAAGTCATTGAAGATTTTCCTTTCAGAGAGTAGACTCTAAGAGTTGGAATTATGAGTAAGTAAGTAAACATTTTATGAGACTGTTTTTTATGTTTTTATAGTATTTAATGTTTCCTAGGTTCAGATTTGACCTCTACCATTAGAATTATACATCTTAAGTGAGCTTCTTAAATCTATGCTATGGTTCCACCTTCTCCAAAATGGAGATAGTAAAAGGGCATACCTTTTAGTGCATTGAAATGATTAAAAGTCTTCATAATGTCATATAATGCCTGACACATGATAATTAATTGATAACTTTTAGCATGATCTTGATCACTGTCATCCACTGTTTAAACTTTCAGAGAGAATGCTTCAGAGGAAGCAAAACCACAAATCACTAGGGATATGCTCTTCTATGATTCGTATCAAACCAATCAGATCCCTAAAGTCAAATGAAGACATGCCAGAAATTCAAAAGTGAAAGAAAGACTCAGGATAGGGGAGATAGAAATCACGGAAACAGGACATATCAGCAAAAATATGTGTATCACTATCCGTGGGAATATTTGGGTGTTTTCTCAAGTCCAACTAAAATACTTCTGTAGTAACTTGCTTTACCAATACATTTTGTTCAGAAAACATTTTTATGTTAGCATTTCCTTTCCTAAAATCAACACATTTAATTTGCTTGACCACTTCCAGATAAGATTGTCTAGTTATAGAAACTGTTGAATTTATTTTCAAATTATAGATATATTAGTGTTAATTCTTATAGGGAGAGAAAATACATATATTCATAGATTAAATTGACTTTACCTTGTAATATGCATACATGATTTATTAAATTTTAGCAACATTATGTGTAAGTTGAGATCTTTAACAAACACCAAATGTAAATAATCTTTCTCTGCCACTTTTTTGCCTTTCATTTATTTTTTCAAAGCTAAGCAAGCAAGTTCACTTTCATCTCTTGAAAGCCCTTTTGTCAGACATGTGACTGTAGTTTTTGCAGTATAGCACAATGTTTGATTGAGGGGCAAAGAAAAGTCACCCACATCGAGTTAGAAGAGCAAGTATGACTGAGTAATGATATTAACAGCAGCTCTTGTTGACCTGAGAGACTTAACTCAGTAATCACAGGCATCAATCATTATTTTTTTAACTAAAGTGGAATACATACATAATGAGCCAGAATTAAAACAACAACCCATGAGAATGTGAGGGTTAATAAAATATGATAATCATTATAGAGATAGATAGATTCACATATTTAACATATTTTAGAGTACCTTACTTATAAATACATATATAAATAACAAAAACTGTAATGAACTGTAGTTTTTGGAGTATAGCACAATGTTTGAGGGGCAAAGAAAAGTCACCCACATGAAGTTCGAAGAGCAAGTATGATTGAGTAATGATATTAACAGCAGCTCTTGTTGACCTGAGATACTTAACTTAGCAATCACTGGCATCAATCATTATCATTTTAACTAAAGTGGAATACATACATAATGAGCCAAAATTAAAGCAACAGCCATTCTTACTAGGCATTGGAGCCCTAACTAAAGGATGACATTATGTTCACTTTCTTCTGTGTTTTGAAATTGGTTAAGTAGTCCTTTCTTGCGTAATATCACTACCAGAGTGCTTTAGATTTGTTAACATTTTTTTTGCTATTCATTGATATATTGTCATAAAAAGTATGATTTAAGCTTGAGCGTTGTAAAATTGCCCTACAGGCTATTATAAGCAGTAGACTAGACTATAAAATCAAAGGTAAGGAAACATTATTTGTTGTATATCTTTTGAAATAATTAGAGATTCTCATCTTATGATTTTTAAAAAGAAAACCAGATGCATTAAACATATATACTACTGCTGTGTTCTCATTCAAGTCTATTATATGTTGCAAAAATGCATCCACTTTTTAAATTTCATCCTCTCAGACTCTCTCTGAAATTTAATAATACAACACTTTCTTTTTCTCCAGCTCCTTTTCTGTGTCATGATCTTCTCTCTGATTCTTAGTGATGCATGTGATCTCTGGAGGGCTTGTGCCCTTCTTTATATAGCTGGTCTGAATACCTGCTATTAAAATTTTTATTCTATAAATTCTAATTATTCTTCCTTTTACATGCTTGTAAATTTAGAGAACTGTATTTGTTGAGGATTTTGCATTCAATTGTTTTCTGTGGAAAATTAATATGAATTGTAAATGTCTTATACACAAATAGTAAAGCAGTTTTCAATCTTTTATAAGATGTTATATATATTTTAATTATATTTGTATAATACTTTTGTTAATACTTGCATGTTTTTTAAGTTGTACTTTCATTATTTAGTAATGTTCATGTTTTGGGATTCTAAATTTGTTTTATTTGTCATACTTCTATTGCAAACTCACTATATCACACTGTACTGCACACATAAATCACCTGTACAAAAACCTGTGTGTTTCTCATATTCAATGAGATATATGTCAAAATTATAGGAAATAAAAACAACATAAAGGTAAATGTTTTCCAAAATGAGTTTTAGCAAAAATATCATATAGAACAAACAAATTAATGTCAGCAACAGTTTCTAATAAAAACTGCCACACCATGTTTCCTACAACTTAAAGAAAATGCAATTCTGTTATTTTGTTTAGAAAGATGAAAACTGTATTTAAATGTAAAACAATATTTTAAGCTGTTTTTCTAAATACATGAATTGGTCATAAATCATGACTATGACTAAATCTTCCAGATTTAATTTTTAAAATCATGACTACAAGGGAAAAAAAATATCAAAATATACTGACATGTTTTCAGAGTATTTTATGTGGTCAAATACATGGGCTATGGTGATCTATTACCGTGTAATAAACTGGAAGAATTTTTCAAATCATTATTTTTCAGCAACCACTTTATGTACTCAAAATATAATTAGACCACCCAACTGATACAACAATGAACAGTTAACAACCTTTAGTAAATGCAGCTTAACAAAAATAAAAGGAACAAAGTGAGAATGTATAAATATAATATTTGTCATCTTATATATTCCAGATTCAGAACAATTTGTGGGCAGGAAATGCGAGTGGCGGTTCTGTGGTTACTTCATGCATGTTACCACGTGACACTTCCTCCTGTATGACACCTTATTCTCACTCGCCTCGGACAGATTCCAGTTACACAGGGTTTTCAAACCACCAGAACCAGTTCAGCCACGTGCCCCTCAACAATTTTTTCACTGACTCTCTTCTTACTGGGGCTACCAATGGACATGCATTTGAAACAAAGCCAGAGTTTGAAAGGAGGTCTTCCAGTATTGCAGTCCTGCGAATGAAAGCCAAGGAGCACACTGCCAATATTTCATGGGCCATGTAACATACAGTACTCTTTTATTTTTCTTTTAATGGCAAAGTAAAACATTCTTATTTCTCATATTTAAAGGATACCACAATAAGCTGCTGTGTGTGTGGAATTGCTAAAGGTCAAGATATACAGTGAGACCAGCTTAAATGAATAGTTGTGTTATTATTTAACATTAAAATTTAAGAATGAACCTCTGAAAAGACTAAATAGGTTTACCATGCACCAGTCTCCACAAACTCTGTTTTAGTAGTACGTTTTTTTTTTTCCTATTGTACGAGTCGATGAAATATGATCATGCAATTTCTTAAAAGAATAAATGTATTAAACAAATTCTTCTGTTATAGATTGATTTATGTTAGTTCTGTATAACAAGAAATCCCTTGTAAAATAATACTTGATAAAGGAGGAAATGCTCTGGGGAGAATGTCAAGATACCTAAGCTGTCAGGTAAATATGGAAGCAGGATATTTTGGGGAGTGAAATGTCATTTCTCTCTTTTCGATTTCAAAATGCAGTGAGCATATTCCCTGTTGTTGAGACATTAACATTAAGCATTGAATATCTTTTTACTTCCAGTCACTTAGTGAATTTCCACTCTGCAAAAAGAAAAAAAAAAAAAACCTCTAAAATGAACTGCATTTGCATTGATTATTTAGACTTTCCTAAACCATGTAGCTAAAGTGATAACTGAAATAATCCAGTATAATTTAAAATATAGTCACAAGAACCATTTTTATAAATGGCATTCCTAATGAAATAGCATGAACTTAGTGACTTGGTGATCAGACACAGCTAAAAAGAAAAGTACAAAACCAGTTATTTAAAAACTAAAGTAGTATTGATTAAAATATACATGCAAACATATAATAGATACAGTAAAACATTTTCTTTAATGAACTGTGAACCTTAATATTTATGTCATGGGCATGTACATTTTTGCACGAGTGTATGTTTGTGTTTTGACTTATAAGCTATAGCTTTTTTTTTTTTTTTTTTGCTACTGTGGTTTTGCATAGGGAATTAAAATGTCAAAAGACTCTAAAATTCCTGGTGGAAAAGAAAAGAAGAAAAATACATTGCATCTGGAAAATTGCTAACCCCTTTGATTTACTTCTCCTCCCTTTCCCCTGTCACATTCCAAGCTTTTTCAGATGAGTGAAATGTCAGCCTCCTTGAAAGACTCTTAAGTTCATAAAAGCAAAGTAAATTAATTGAAATGAAGATGACTTCCATGGCTTGGATCACAGCAAGATCTGCTCTTTGTACTTTCTTAGAATCTTCTTGTGGTTCCTACAGCCTTTAGGGATATGCTTGGAAGTCCTGAAGGCTAAAGGACAAGAACAAATGAATTTTAAAAATTAAATTTCAGAAAAAGTACTTAAATCCAGTAAGTATCTCTGCCTAGTGGGAAAATATTTATAGCAGTTAGACATCTTTTGTAATAAAATTTTAAATCAAGCATATGATAGAAATGAATGATGTTCTAAACAAACTTTCTCTGACTTCATAACTCTGTTCTTTATTACTTTTGTGTTCTCTTTTCAGTTTTGTTCCCAAGACAAACTTGTTCAACTTTGACCCTGAGAATTATGCTTACATGCAGAAGATTTTGTTAAAGGGTTGTTAAATATCCTTCAGGTTTTATAAGAGAATGACTTTTTTAAAAATATATATATATATAACCACACACACATTTTTGAACTAGAATGTAGAGGGAAAGTATAACAATTTCTTTTTGCAAAAGTTTACCAAATTAGTTTATGTTCTGATTTTTTAAAGTTTAATGTCCCTTTGCTAATACCTCATATTTTTAAAAAGAGAGACAAAACATATAGAAGCATGTTTGAATTTCCCTTCAGTCCTTGGTCTCCCTATGCTATGTTTTTCTCCTCTTTATATCTAAAATTAAGGGATTACCATATCACACTGACCACCAAGGCACCCATAGTCATTCACCATATTCCTTTGGGCCTGCTTCTCACCCTTCCCCTCTGCCTTGTGCAACCTGAATTCTACATCAAACATGTAGATCTTGTTACTTGTTCATTTCTCTCTGACACTTTGTGGTCTTCTACCTCTGAATCATATATGTGGTATAAACCATTGTTACCTCAATAAAAGAAAGAATGACTGAGAAAAAATGAATTTAAGATAGTGTAAAAATAATTAGAAATCAAGTAGAAAGTTTAACGAATAAAAATAGTTGGAGCTTTTATAACTCATTTTTTTCAATAAAAAATCTAGTTGAGCTTCTACAACTACGAGGCTCTGTATACATTTTATGTCAGTACACCTTTAACTATGCCTACTGTGTTAGTAGGAGGTGTAGAGTTGTGGTTCTTGTCCTTATGAGTGCACAGTATTTCTGGACATGCCATGTGCAGATGCATGAAGTTTGACCCTCAACCATGGCTCACATTTGATGGTGACATGAAGAATGTCATGAGTTTATGCTAACATTCTAAGCTTTTCTAAAGTTGACTGTTTATAAGTTGCTAAACAATGATGAACTTATGTTATTCTAAGATACTATGAAGGTAAAAACAACGGATGTACATAAAATGCATGTCTTGAATTTTCTCCTTTCTCAATTTAGATTAAACCAGTTTTCATAGACTAGAATTTATATACTTGAGAGAAAAATAAGGAAGATTTCATTTTGTTGTCTTTGAGTTCATCATTGACATGTGTTGTGTTACTTTTGGAAAGTTTGGGTGCATTAAGTACTTGATGCACTTGGACATTTGTTTCTGGGATGATCTCATCCCCTACTTGCCCCCTTTACCTATTTTTCTTCTACAGATGGCTTATGAGATGATTCTTTTACCCTTCCTGAGCAATTTGTTTAAGGTTTGGATCTTACCATAAGAGATAAATTTAATGGAGATTTAGGTAAGGCTTGCAATTACTTATAAGCATACAATGAAATTTCAGAAAGAATGATGCATATTGAAGGTATATCATTTACTTCTTAAGAATGTTAGTGATTATTTTCTACATGACTTCTGGTGAAAACAGAAAAAGAAAGTCACTATAATCTTCACCCTCAGTCCTGACAAAAGATCTCAGAAGAATAACAGAGTTACTTAACCTATATAACCTTGAGGAAACTCATGAAATTGTGTGTAAAAGTTATAGGAGTGTATTAGTTCATCTGACTATTGATTTTTTTTTTTTACCTCCAAGGAAGAGGGAAGGGGCAGACCAAAACACTTAATAGACTTCTTACAAAGATGATATGTTATTGTTCCCTTTTTTTAAATCTTCACTTGTCTCAAATATTGGGTACATACTTGACTTCCATTGAACAATTTTAGCATTGTTGCCCCGTGTTTTAGATAGTGCTGCTTTATATTTTGCTGTAGTTTTAATTTATCAGCAACTAAACAAAGCCTTGAGTAAATATGAAATGATCAATTACAGTATTTAAATAGGGTGTTTGAGAATTTAAATCATACTTTAAACTTACCAATGAGTCTGATATTTGTCTTTCAACACTTAACTAAGGTAGTAAATTAAGTTGTAAATGACGAGTAATTATGTTTGATACATTTTTAAATTAAAACAAATTTTTAATTTTTAACTGCTGCCAAGTTTTTTAGGAGAAATATGGAAATGAACTTACATTTAAATCCTAATTGAGATAAAGTCTCTTCTCATTAGAATAAAAATATTTATGCTTATTGTTTAAAACAAACAACAAAAATGAAAATATGATTGCTATCTTTTAGTCATCTCTAAGAAATCAGGCATCAAGTAATCCAACAGACAACATACCTTATAACTATTCCTATTTCACATTGAAAACATGTTTGGCTCTTTTGGTAATAATTTAATATAGTAGTATTTGTTTTAGCCTCTGAGTCTCATTATATACATTTTATATGAGCCTAGTAGTAGCGTTACTAGTGACTCAAAAAAATATTAGAAGTGAAATAACTAACAATAGAATCAACATTTATAACACAAAGCCTCAAAAACAAAAATAAATGAGAGAAGGATTTTGCAGGGTATAAGATGTGCTGAAACAGGGGTTCCCTGCCTTTTCTTTTTTTAATAGCTGTCCTTTTAAAATAAACATATTCAAATATTTATTCTAGAAGTGTATTGCAAAAACAAGAGCAGCACTTCAAGACAGGGCTGATTCTTCAGTGAATAAAATTGTAGAGAGTTGAAAGCAGTATTTCTTCTGTTCTTAGGTTTCTATGGCTGTATTTTTAAGTCCACGGGGCAAATAAATGACTTAAATATTTCATTATGATACTATCTTATAGAATGTTTCCCTTTAGAATAAGAGACTTATGTAGCGACTTGCATGTTTTCACACAATGCATACTTTCTTTATTTGAAGTACACATATCATTTCTCTTACCTACTTACTGGAAAACACTGGATGTGAATTGATAGCGTACATTTGATGAGGTGAGGACCTATACCCTAATTATACACAGTGTTATAAACCAGCATTAGCTTAGTAATAATAATTTTTAAAAATCATACAATTAAGAAAAAAGAAAAAAGAAAAGACTTAAAGAGCTTCCAGAACAATTGCCAGCATTGTCGAAACATGACAGGCTTTCAGTAGAAGGCAAAAGGAGCCCCCTACAGGCCACCCTGTAGAGTCCATTCAGTGGCCATGAACAGATTTAAAGGTATAAAATCTCCCCATTATCACTGGAGAAGGATTCACAGCTTAGGCAGATGCTGCAGGGAAGGATGTGCATAATACTGAGGGCTGTAAGTTAAGATAGAAAATAATAAAGCTATTTTCACTAACCCCTAGAATAAAATACAAAATTTTCTTTTATTCATGAGTATGGAAAACAAACCTCAGTATGTATCATTAACAGGACCTGTGATTTTTCACCAGTAGTAAGAACAAGCTTCTTCCTACTACATTGATTAGAGTTATAGAAATCTTGGGATAGTTGTAATCCAAGTTTATCTGTTGATTTGGTTCATTTTCAAAATATTTCAAAGGTTTTCAAACTTCTTCATAATTAGGAAAGTGTTATCTCTGCTGCTAACTTTATTATTTAAAGTGTTAAGAAAGCTACAAAATACTGTTATATTGTAATGCTAATTTTGTAAATATATAAGCACCTTGTTTCAATATAATTCATTTACCTCTTAACCCAACACAACTTAATTTATTAAAAATCACTATCTGAGAAGGGTTTCTCAAGGTTACTAAGCTGCCAGAAGGGTCCATGTAACAAAAGGAATTAAGGAACTCCCCTCTTTTTTGTACTAAAGTCATCGCTCCAGATTAAACAATATTTCCCCCCAGAGGAGAGTCATGTTATAAAATAATTAAAATATGGTATATA